AGAATAGGCTTTACTATCTAAATCCATATTAGCGTTTTGGTAGAATAACAGAATATAACGATTTTATTGATTTTAGCTGATTTTAGCTAATTTAGCAATATTATACTCTAATAAATAATAGATTCAAATTTACTGGTTAAGAGAATTATGGCAGTTTTAATGCTATATAGCGATTTTATCAATTTGTAACCGATTTAGTGAGACTACATATTGCTAAACTCAAATTCATTTTTATTCAATTGTAGGGTTTATATAGAGTCATATTTAGCTAATTTTATATTTACATGCATATGCACAGTATCTTCGGTTAAATCAGTTTGTGACATGATGTACTGTATATTGTATCACATGAGATCTCTCTAATTTCCTGCCAGTTTTACGACAGTTCTACGACACTCTCCTGGCACTTTTATAGCGCTGAGTGGTTTCTCAAATCACGGGTGATCGGCATATAAAAAATGGCTAAGCCACTATTATTATTCGATTAATCATTTCATTAAATCAAATGAATCATCCTTTACTATGACTGAAATACATCACTCGATATTTTCATAAAACTGGTCAAATTTTATAGAGTTCTCTCACCAATGTAAATATGTCTTCTTCTACTGAGTGGTCTGATGCTCAGCTTTACCTTCTTATCAACGAACGTAAACAGAAAAACACTGAATACCATGCAACCCTAAATAAGAAGAAACAAGATTTTTGGGACGATGTTACCAGTAAGCTTAACGAACAAGAGAATACCAACTTTTTCCTGGGTAAAGACTGTTACAATAAGTTCTTAAACCTTACAAAAGCTTTTAATGTAAGTAGACCTACTTAGATTTTACGTGAAATCTAGGGTTAATATACTTACTATTTATTTAGACGGCCAAAATATATAGAGAAAGAACTGGAACTAAGAAGAGTTTGGTAGGGGAAAAAATATACGAAGAGTTCTCAACGAGATTCTGGTTTAAACCAGGTATGTTTCTGTAGAAAATAAGTAGGTGATTATCTCTACGAAGCGCCTTAACGGTAAATTAACACGATTCTATCTATCACTATTCGCTAGAACTTCTATTTGAGCAAATGCGTAATGAAAATGTTAGTAGGACGAGTTCTCCTGAGAAATCAGCCTCTTTAATTTCAAGGTCCAAAGGTAAATCTAGTGTTCCTAATGAGTCAAGTCGAGTCAAGTTTTGAGTCAAAATTATCTTACATACCTTTAATTTAAAGTACTTATTTATTATGTATAACTAAAATTTACAATTATGCACAATCATGCAAGTCAAATATGCGAGTTTATGTGAGTTATTTTCAGAACTCTAGGTAAATCAAGTTCTGTAACTGAACAACCATTGGAAAAAGCTGTCAAGAAGTCCCTTGCTATTGGCACCTCCGGTAAATCATCATCACTCACAACATCAAATCCTGTCGAAATACCTAATATTTTCAGACCTGCACTCCAACATTACCTTCTTTTTTGCAAAATGCAAACGTGATCAATGTTACTTTTAATTATAGTGGTGTTCAAACAGAAGAGGATTAAGTTTTTCGTTAATTTAGTATAGTAAATTTAAAATTTTATTATTTTATCATGTGGTATTGGATGCAGTAGATGTTATATAATAAAAGTCTTGGGGATTGTGCTACATTGCAGAATTTGCAGTAACTATAAGAGTTTTTTACTATGTATGGACTAGTATGTATTCTGTTTTGAAATTTCTTCTAGTAAGTTCCAGTTGTTATAATTTTACGATCATGAGTGAGATATGTTCAGAAGTATAAAAACCTTCTCCTTTCGCTCATCATAACATTTTCCCGTAAATTACTTCTCAAAAAATAACACTAATAGATTCAGAAAGCTCCAATAGCATTTTTCCGCATGTTTCAGAGACCATTGAAGAAGAAATATTTTGGGCCTCAATATGAGGGCATACTCAATGGAAGTATTCCTTATCGCAGGATTCAACCCACTGCAACTACTAATTCTCAAGGGGAATTCGCTCAAGGAGGATCCGAAATATGTTTTTTCTGTAATGAACCTGATCCATTATTTAAACTTAATGGAGCTAACCTGGAACTAGTCGTAAAATTGTCCTGGCTTCATAACTTCCATCTTAGATGTATTATTATTTTCTTAAAAAAAGATACGTCATGTTCTCGTTGTCAACAACTTATTTATCTTGGCGAGGAAGATGATGCAAGGTTAAATCCTAAAGAAGAAGATAGGGTTAAAAAATTTTTTAAAGAGTTATCCAATAGACCACAAGACTCTAATCTATTGCTGACGACAAATGTGAAAACAGTGAACCCTACAACTCCAGATATGGTGTTCGTCAAATTGCACAATTAGAGTTCCGAATGAGTCGAGTCGAGTCGAGTTTAAAGACCAACTCTATTCGACTCATTTTTTTCGAGTCGA